ATATATAGTGGCGTCGTGTTCAAGAGATATTTCCCTTTTTATCCACCTTCTATCTAGCAATTCCATTTGAAAAAGGCTAATAATAATATTAATTTATTAACGTGGTAACAATTTATGAAATTTTAAAATTGCTAAATTGTCATTGGTTGGATTTGTACGCATTATACACTTGAGAAAGACTTGAGAATTTTGGCTTTGTCACTTTCAAAGACTATTGTCGATTAACTCCGTAATAACCCGCATCACTTATGGGTGTGCCACATTAACCACTCAAACCCAAGATGTTGAAATTTTTATCAAGTATCAAAGCTTAGGTTTGAGCATTCATTTGCCCAATCAGAAAAAAAAGAAGGAAACAATAAACGTATGAGCTTTCTGTGATTTAGTTTTCGTTGTAAGTTCGTAAGTTTGAGTATATATCATATAAGTTGCATTTACAGTTGCTGCGTAGATACATCGTGTATTTATTTGATCCCACTAGAAGTAATTAGTAAGAAATACTGCGGTAATGTATCGTTGTAGATATGCGGATGTACCAAGAGTTCTGGTTCTCGTCTTTAAGAAGTCTATTGAAGCTGTTGAGGTCATTATGATTGCTGAGTCCGCTGATTTCTAACGTACAAAGAAAAATGTCCAATAGCTTCCTTTGACGTTCGGGAAGCGGCCTTTAGGGGAGTCCTCCCACTCGGACCTTATTAGCGACTTGTAACAAAGATGCTTGCTTGTTATGAGATTGTAGTAGAATCAGCAATGCATTGTCTTATATAAGCATATGCGAATAAATCTGGTTTTCACCATACCATCGCCGGTGCGGATGAGGCACTACTCGTCTTACAGTCAGTCATTCAACTGTAATATATGCTGTTCTCTATGGCGACTACTGGAAGACCACACGGCCCTGTGGATAATAGTGACAGTAATCAACATACGAGTCTTAGCTAATGTCTTTATTTGCATCATTTTGTTTCAGCTATTGTTCTCCAGCTACTGCTGTTGTTATTGTTGCGACGGCAGCCGCCACAGGTCATTTCGACCTTGAACAAGGAAAAAAGTCAATGCCAGGCTTTCATTACTACGAATATCCTAAATTGGTCACTGATGAATAAACTTATTAACAATAACGTACGCTAACATGGATTATCAGGTGACTACAAGATGAATCGACGGTGTTTTTAACTTCTCGTTTTTTTTTTTATCAATATATTAATTCACTCATGTTCACGTCCTAACATTAGAACGTGTTTTTGAAATGACATATCCTATATTATTCTATCTTGGTTGATCTTTTAAGCTAGCTGACCACTAATTTGAACAAAGTAATTAGTGATTAGTGCGAATCATTTTTGCAGCCGGATGCCCATCTTCTGATGAACTTGACAGATTTGAAGTTCAGCGGCGGAGCAGACGACTCCTATTGTGTGTTTATTTGGTGGTTCATGAGCAGAATAAGCCGGGTTCGGGAGACTATTGAGGAGACTGTATCTACTCTGCTAATCGTTCCTATCACGGATTCTGTCTATGTAGGAAAACATACGCACTTCAGTTGCAGTATCTTCCTTTGTAAAGCTTGAGCATTAGACTATTTGGGTTGTCAACCTAAGGTATGGATGCCACTGTTGCACTGACTGAAAGTAATGTACAGTTATGAGGTGTTTGATATTTTTGATGACAGCCTTCAATATTTTGGAGCAACCATGATTTCTGGTTGCAGTTTTAACTAGTTGTTCAGATGAAGGTTGATCTGGATAGTTTACTATTCTCTACCAGAATGCTTTTAATAGCACTTTAATTATGTTTGATATCGGCACATTTCTTGATAGACCACTCTTGTTTTCGTATTTACTCGTTCTATGTAAAAGTGTCAACTACAAGATCTATAGTGATATCTATTTAGTACCATATGACACCTGCTTTCTACTCAAGAAATCTTTTTCAACACGAAGTAACCATTGTATGTTCAACGGCTTTAATATTTTTCCTACGATGAGTGAACGTAAAAATAGTGTCATTTAAGTACCAAAGCAGACGCGATGCAGATTTGTTCTGCTCTGCTATTTTTTCTTTCTGTCTTTAGAGATATACATTGTTTTTTTTTTGTACATTAAACGGTGTTCATTTTTGCCTGTTATACATCCATGTACCTAACCTAACTTAATCGTCTCTATTCAGCAGAAAAAAATTCAAAATGTCGAACGCATCTCTTCCCGCCGGATGGGAAAAGCGAGTTTCGCGCAGTTCTGGTGATTGCTATTACCTAAACGTGCACACGAAAGAATCGCAGTGGGAACTGCCAACTGAACCCGCCCAACCTAAGGGCGATAAGGTCCGGTGGGTAACCTAGTGGTCATATCGACGCTACAACTATACTGACAACCTTTGATTAGCAAACGTCATCGAAGATTAAACCTATAGAAAATTGTCAGTGTGAATAACTTTAGCCGTTTTTAATTCAGTTTGGAACAAAGCTGAATATGTTCATTAAGTTTTCCGAAATAGCAGTCTAAACCTTTAGTAATGAGTCTATTAACACATGAGCATTTCGAATATTTTCGTACACAAAAATAGTTATATCTTTGAATTTAGTTTGAAATGGTACTTGATCTAACTGCGTAGGCCTTCTGTATTTTTTCTGCGGAAGAGTGCGACATTTGCTGGTAAAACATAGGGATTCAAGGAGACCTTCGTCTTGGAGAGAGGAGAATATTACAAGAACCAAAGAAGAAGCCCTGGAAATTCTCCGAGGTACAAAGAGATTTATTAAATTTTAGCTTTTCGTTAGCTTTAGTTTAAATAGCAAAAAGATTCAAACGATTTAAAAACCAAACTTATTCAATCTGTGCTCTTGACATACACCTCATATTAAAAGCTGTTTTTTTACGAATTATAAAGCGTATTAATGCAGCTCAAGAACTGGGTTATTAACAGCAACGAGATATCAATGCAGACTTGAAATCAAAAAACACTAACTGTCTAATAACAATCTAGTTCCTCAAAAGAGAAAATGATTGATAGCAGATAATGTGCCGTCCGCTATAAACTAAGCAGTTCATTATATATCCCCTTATCCTTAACAGACTACGAATCCCGTATTAAAGCTGGATCAGCGACCTTTGAAGACCTTGCCACTAAATTCTCGGATTGCAGCTCAGCTCGCAAGGGCGGAGATTTGGGCTTCTTTGGACGTGGAGCAATGCAAAGACCCTTCGAAGAAGCTTCATTTATCCTACAACCAGGTCAGATGTCGGGGCCTGTGGATACCGATTCAGGAGTTCATCTCATTCTACGAATTGAGTAGGCTGTCGAGTGAGTCACTGATGTTACACCAATAATTGACTAAGAATAAAGTCAGCCGATATTCCTTAAAAAAATACTATTATAAAAACTATCATTAATAGTTCCGGGGTTTCTAAAAGCTCAGTTATACTGCATCTGTGTCCGTCAGGCGTAAGGAGTGTGTGATCAGATAACGATACTGCGGGCAACCTATTCCATAGAATGAAAGTTAATTCCCACAGAGGAATCTATTCGGATAATAAGAATCACAACACTAGAATATATAATGGCCATTTTTCCCGACACATAGTGGAAAATCGAAAGACTGTGTAGCGAATGTAGTAGCACAAAATTTTTGAATCAGAGTTTGAATTGTTTAGAAATTAATTGTGACTTGACAATGAAATACAATAGCAGGAAACATTGTTGTTACTTGCCAGCTATGTTAAGTGATCTTTGAATGAACCGGAGAAGCCAGAGAAGAAGGGCTGTTTCCTATGTTTCGAATAATTTGAAGGACAGAAAACATTGCGTTTGAATCATAAACAGCTATAATGGATATATTTGTTTATGAATGCATTTAGTTAGATAGATCATCTAACTTTTTTTGGCTAAAGTTTTGGGTGAAAAGACGGATAATTTGACGAGTAAAAAGTAAAAGGGGGCATTTATGTCAAAACAAAACGAACAATCGATTCTAACTATAATACACAAAACAAGATATAAACTTACGGAAGTGTATGCTAGTGAAAGAGAAGCAAAAAAGCACGTATTAAATATTAACTTCGGTTTGTTTTTTATTAAATATTTCCCTTTTATTTTACATAGACACAAAAGCCTGGGTACAGCGACGTTGAAGTTACCGGTCTTTTTATGAATTCAAACCCGTCTTCTTCCTTGGGTTATTTAGGAGCAATGGTAGTCCACGTTCTACTCTACATGCCTCTTTTGTATTATAATTACATTATTATTATTACTGTTTGGTAGCAGGGGCACAATTCTTTATTACAGAAGGTTATTTGGCATGTAATTATTTCAATTAGTTATTGAACTTTTATACTCATTATCGTTAGGATTACTAAGTTATATCTCTAACTGACCTTTGCGTTCCTATCTGTAACAGCAAACTTCGCCTTTCGATTCGATTTGGTAGTAAATTTAATAATAAATATACGCTGGCGCTTATTATGTCACGCGGTTGAAATCGTGCTAATATTAATATACAGTTTTTAGAATTTCTTGAGTGTTTTTCGAATGAGTGCCAAACGCTGTTTGTGAGCCTCAGAAGTTGATGTTTTCTTGTACGTGTGCAGATCTTCACCGCCAAAGCCTGGAATATATAGATTATGTTGACGCTCCAGAACCTGTAATAAAGAAAGCGTTTAATATTCATGGAGGTTATGAAAATGAGAGTTTGTTTCTTACCATGGCGCTTGGAAATAAAAGCAAAGTACCCGTGAACAATTCAACTTCTACCTGAACAGAACGTTTGTATATATCCAAGCTATGTTGTGGACAGGAGCACTCCCGTAGGCGAGATGAGGTATGTAATACCTTAACGCGCTGAAAAGTGCTTCAGCATTGAAAGTTACTTCAATAAACGACTAATGCTAGACAAAATAGGTGTCTGTTGTCAAAAAAAAGTAATTGTTTTTTAATCAGTAAACATCGGAGCCTACTTAGTGCTCTCTATAGGTTGATACCACAAGATTTGTGATCCATTTTGTATAGGTAAAATACTATACCACGGAGACATCCTTAGCTTCGAGAAGCTGACTTTTGCGGTGTTTTGCCATAAGGCATGACGAACTAACAACGCTCTCGATAAAATCATCCGCCAGTTGAAGTAAAACCCCTTCGACCTCTTCATCTAATTGTTGCATGGGGTCAACTTCTTTAACGAGCTCGGTTAGCCTGTAATGATTTATACGGCCACAGTTTAGACATATTATAATAGACATCAGCGAAAAAAATATTGATAGACAATATTTTGCTGATGTCTATTATTTTTACAAGACGCTCATTAACGATGTAATGATTTATACCAAAAATCTAACGCCTTGTATGTACATTATTATAATACAGTAGGTTTTGAGCTATACTTAGCATTTTTAGAACCAGATAAATATTCGCTAAAATACTGAAGAAAACGCTAATCAGGCCTGGCATACATGGCTAGCGTCTACTATAAAACGTGCGTCAATTAATGAAAGCAGAACTACGTACTTTTCTCTATTGAGAATTTGCTTATCGTCGTTTTTATTCTCCTGATCATGCTGATCTTTCTCCTTTTCCTTATCTCTTTCTGCGCGTTCCTGACGCGCCCTCTCCTGTTGCTGTTGTTTCGAGCTACTATTCGCACCTCCTGGGCCAGCGCCGCTACTGCTGCTATTACTTCCACTTCCACCACTAGCGCTACCGGATCCACCGCTTGAACTGCCCCCGCTACCTGAATTGTTGCTGATACTGTTGTTTGAAGTGTTGCCACCGCCTGCATTGCCTGTCGCTGCGCTAGTCGGCCCGGCACTGCTAGATTCGGATTTTGGTGCTCCTCCTCCGGCACCGGTAACTGCATTTCCGGCCGGGGGTGCAGCAACGGCAGTTGATATAGTAGGTGTCCCTGCCGATATTGGAGTAGACGCTGGTACAGACCGGTCGGAAGTTGGTCGGACGGAAGAGCTTGTATTGATCGGCGTTGACGGCGCAGCTGCTAGAGGTCGTAACGGAGCTTGCAGCGTGCTCAAAGGAAGTGTGACAACTTGCGGGCTATTTGTGATCTAGAAACAACATGAATGGCAAAAAAAATAGCTGCATTATTCTAAAAATTGGCTAAAGCAAAAGAGTGAATACGTTAGAAACGAAAAAAAAAATGCTAACTATGTTAATACGGCAAATAATATCTTAGTACAGAGGTATCTAAAAAGCTATTGATCTGTGCAATTCTCCTTCGCCAACATGTAACTACTTGGTAATTAGTTACTTAGATGATTACTTCGTTCTTTTGTCCCTTTGAAGGCTACTATTTAATGATTGGAAGTTCTTTTTCAATATGTCAGTTCTAGAGAAGACTTACCCTAGCGGTAACAGACGTAGGAATTGCTGATGTGGTTACTGCGGCAGTGCTAATTAAAGTTGCTGGGGAAGCGCCACCTCCAACAGCGGTTTGAATCGAACGACGAGCAACGACCGGTGCCGCTACAAGGGTGCCTCCACTCGTCGATAACTGAGGCATCACATATTCCACCCAGAAATAACAACTATTTAATGAAGTAAACGACTCTACTTTTCTTCTGCGGCTCTATCATCGGCTTTAAAAGCTTTATCATCCATATAAATGTAGATGAATGACACAACACTAAAGTAATAACAGACAATCGGACTAACCTAGCACCATTGCCGTAAACCAATGCCGTAATGCCTTAAATCTTAAATGATGTATCTCGGAACCCCGACCCATCTTCTTTCACATATTCAGGTAGGTATATTAAAATATTACGAGCTCACATGAAATAAGTTCAGAAAGAAGCTGCCTCGAAGTTTTTGTCTAGTGTTTTTCTAGATTTCTTAAAATAATTGAGTTGTCATACCAGACTGCCGTTAATTGAGGTTTTGCTTGCGACTATATTTGTTAATTTTGCATAGCTGTTATTAAATTTTAAGAGAATAATAGAAACATGATACTCACAGCGGTGACAGGTAGCTGCACCATAGTAGGATTGGACGATACCACAGTTGCCTGTGGAAATGTCGACACAGCCGAAAATATTGGCCCTGCCGATGAGACTACGATGTGCGAAGATGGAAGAGACATCTGGAAGAATACATTTTCCATTATTTGCATGCTTTCGTGTTACATTGTAATTACAAGTGACTTCTGTCTCAAACTAGAATTTGCGGTAATAGAAAAGCTCATTGAATTTTTAGCAGGTTAGCAAATAATACATATATAAATAATATATATATATATATATATATATAACGATAAACATTGTCAAGCCACTTATTTCTTATCTGTCTTTAATAAAGTTTCTTTCTTAAACATTTTTTGATGATTTCTGGCAAAAGAATACTTTAATAAAATAGCATCTTTATGTATAAGCTTTAGCAAAGTGTTAGCATTGTCGTCGTCACTGCTGGAGTGATCAAGAAGAGATTACCTAGGCGAAGTGTGTGCAGTCTATCATTGACCCTTAGCGAACTTGCATAAAGGCAACAATGATGCACTTTACTAACAAACTACATAGAAATAGAGTAGATATAGGTAAACAAAACAAAAAGTTTTTGATTCTACTTTTGGAAGATAATCTAAATAAACGTATTTTGCTTTAGAGTAGTTCAGTCACTGGAGAAACCATTGTAACCTCCCCGACCAAAAAGAAAGGCATGGAGACACTCAGTAACGTTTCAGTGCTGCAATACGAACTATTCACTATAACTTTAACACTTTCAGTACACACGAACCGTTATATTTTCGGTGACTTAAATGTTTATAAGATTGCTACAAATTACGAAAATTAGCCAGATAGAACCCATGCGGCACACACACACACACACACACAGTACGTTCTAATTTAGCCGACCTGCCTTCTTTAGAACTCCTGCCATAAAATATCAGAATCCTGATCAAATGCATTCTTTGTAAACAAATATGCCCTTTCCACGTATACTGGCGCGGAATTTTGAACATGGTTTGGCGCGAGAGTCTACGAACTACGTTGGATGAAGAATATGATCATAAAGACCAGTCAGATATTGATGCTGCTACTAGTAATCATGCTAACAAGCATACAGTCCAATAGAAGTACGCGCTCGTAATATGCATAGGATCAATTACTACGTTATGAGTGTTTATTTAAATTTAGTGAAAAATTTCTACACAGATGGCACGGAGGGTACGCGCATTTGGAACAATGAAGTAACGAGGATGGAGCACAGAATTATTTTAGAAAGTACTTCGTGAGATTTTTGCTTTCTGACAATAAACAAGAGCAAGTAGAAAATAAATCAGAGAGGAAGAAAAGAACTAATACGAGTAAGTATAAAATCATGCTCTGATAGCATCTACGTAAAATTACGCTATTTTCTTATTGGCAGTTTGTTTCATGTTAAACTCTTCCAGAAGACTCCAATAACCAACTTATCATTCTAAATTAATTTCAGTTTTTTCAAACCGATTAGTCCCGGCAGCTGCTAGTGTTTAACTGACGTTTTTTTCGAACTTTTTTTTACCAGTGGGCTTGCTGATTCGCTTTGTTAGAAATATCGTTTGTTCCTTGCAGCGAAACGAGCCAAGAAGAAAAAGGGTGAGTCTTCTTGGTATTGTTAACAAAGTCTGCCTTCTTTGTCATTTTCAGCGCGTCTGATAACGTATTTTTATGAATCTTCAAGCTGCCGCGCTCTGACTTCCTCCCATCAGTCACCTTGCCAACACATCATAAGTGCCGTTTCAACTAATAAAATATTACGTCGTTAGCCAAGAAATTCGCAACACGTGTAAAGTGCATTTTTTAAATGATGTAATAACCATTCTCCTTAATTAACAGGTGTTTTTCCTCTAGAGGCATCATTAATAAAAGTATTTTATGAAACGCCATATACGATTACTCAGTTATGAGTAAGGTTCGTGAAGCTTCAATTCATGCGACGAAGAATTAACGAAGTCTCTTCGAAACACTCTTGCCGTATATAGGCAAACATACTCGTATTTCGGCACGCAATTCCGAAGTGGAGGAAGAAAATAATAAAAAATGTATCGAATTTTCTGAGACCTTAAGTTTCATTGTCTGGCAAGAAAATAAAAATGCTTATCCCAAAAAAATCCGTATCAAAAAAATCCCAAACTTTACATACATGTTTATTATTGTTACGTAAGTACAACACGATAAAATTTAGTGCATAAATACATTTACATTTTACGATACAGAATACAATACAATTTGTGCGTAATCTAGAGATGCACACTAAAATAAAGTCTGCGTATTTTCATTAATGGGGTCATCGAGTGAATCTGCAAGTTCGTAATGGAATATGGAGTTAATACGACCATAATAGAGCAAAAAGGAGCATCAGGCGTACTGATTTGTCCTATTCAAATATCCTATTAGAGATAGCGAAGCGCTAATGTCGCCGCTTACTAGTGGGCGGGACCGACTCAACTAAATAACAAATTCTATTACGACTATGGAGCCCGGTCCTTCGTACTGGGCTAAGGAAATTATTCAAAAATTAGTTCGGAAATTACGAAGCGATGCTTTCCTCATACAGCTTAAATAGTGGGATCAAGTGGCTCTCGCCAATCATAATTATTCCTGGCAATTTAGATTTTGCTTTATGGATCCATTATACCAGTTTAATGATTCAGACCTGCGATTTCGGTGTTTCCATTGCCGTACCGTGGATGGTTTACTTGCCCTGATTCCGATAATACTCTATCTAGTTTAAACATTCTGATAGTTTGTAGTAGATATCTCATTCGTTCTCCTTTGTGCTCATGGTTCGGCGCCTCTATGGCAATTAAGCCATCGCTGTGTTATCCTTAACTGGTTGCCTTTCACTCTAAAATTTTCGCAAATTGGTCTTTCAAAAGCGCCACGTTCCGAGCGGCTCGGTCGATTCATTTTTATCATAGTGTTTTCTCACCAAACCATTTTACACACAAAGCATCATAAATTGTTAGAGTCATTCTTGGAGAAATTTCTTACCGTCCTGTTAGGTCAGGTATATTTGTCCCTCCATTATAGCAACAAAGATATTTGATCAATCTTTCTTTGCCCACCATTAAACACCATAAGCTGCGACAGCATATTGAAAAAGCCGACATTAGGAACTTATAGAATACTTTGGTAAACGACAATAATAATAATGTGTTGGGGCACCCCTGAGTCATGTAGAAAATTTATTATAGGTCTATACGGTATAGCTTAACCCTTTATTAATGATAATTTATTGTTTAATACCAAGTAGACCAAGCCAAGAAAAGACTAGATATGTTTAGTGCAAGAGTGTAACGTAGCATAAGTGCTTATTGACTTTGTTTATTTTCGAGCTACATTTGCAATAGTCCAAAAATTCTTTGATTCTTAGCTGGTATCGGGTTATCCATTTCGCTGCTTTAACCTCCTGTTCATGTAGCTACTCCATTTCAGTAAATAAATCAGAAATCAAAGTTTGCAATTTTGATAAGTTATGAAATTAAAGTGGCGTTATTGAAAGAATTCGCTATTGCTCAATTGTAAATTAGACTGACTTTTTCGATTTTGCAAATCTGCCAAAATTGTAGACCTGCCAACTAGCGGTATAATACCTCGTTCTAACCATAGCGCCTCGTGTTATGCTTGTGACACCTGTACGTCGTTAGCAGTTCATGGCTGAGCAATGTTTAGAGAACCTCGTTCCTAACTCTCGTGAACGCGAATCCAAAATGACTCATATCCTTGCTAGTAGGTTAGTAACGATCTCGCCATCTTAGATTAATAAATGACTTATCCCATTTAAATATTTTCCTTCCGTTTCGTAGTACAAGGAGGCCAACATGTGCGGCTGTTTTCTTGCCTTTTAGTATATGATTTGTACACCACACTGAGAAGCAAATGAGTAAAATACAAATGTGAAAACCAGCTGAGGTATATCTTTGTGTGGTTTTGCCATAGATGTGTCGCAGTGATTAGATTTAGCGTATCCGACGGCTAAGTAAATTAGCGGAGCCGCTGCCTCGGTCGGTTGATTAACACCATTGGCACGCCCGTTCAAAACTGGTGCTTTTAGTTATATACTTTGATTACCGTTTGTATTCTTATCATTCACGCTTTTATTTAAAATTTCAGGCAAATATGTCCGCATTAAGAGACTGGTCGTATACTTATGGGCACAATTTCTTACAAGAGCTTGCAAAAAAAAGTAATAAAAGGATATTTCATAATCATGCATCAATCGACTTTTCCTTCCAATCATACAACGGCATATAGTCTTAGACCATGCACCCATGCATCAAACGCTACCTATAATTAGAGTAAAACCTAAATTGACTGAAGGCCACTAGCCTAGCTGCTACTCACAGCGTGGGTTTTATGCAGTGCAAAAGATCAAGGAGAATATATATATTTCGAGTTAGACTACGCTCTCTACTGGGCTGCTTTATGCGCCGTGCGATTGACAAATTGCGCTCACACACCTTTTGCTCACGCTTGTTTATTTGGCATTCGGAAAGAAGGCCTGCGACTTTAAACACACGACTTCTTGGAATTTGGGGAGCCTTTGATGCAGGCTAATGCAAACCTTCTATTAATTTTTTGCTTTACCAAAGCTATCGACAAAGTAGTGGGCACACAGTGCAAACGGCAACACCTTACCCATATTCTCGATTTGCACCCAAGTGAAGATCTGAAGAAATCTAAAAAAAGCGCCTCAAACACGTTGCGTAGTTTTGCATCAATTATGATATAATAGCAGATTTGAAGTGCTCTTTCTCTTCGTTGTTAGGGAGTTTAATTATTGAGTGGAAATCAAATGACTAAGGCGACGTTAGGGAAGGCAGGCTGGTGTTAGCACACTGACATGTCACCGCTACGATTCGACCCCCTCAGATTCGCTGCTCAATATCTGAGCGAGCCCCTTTTAAACTGCTGTTTTGAATGTGCCCGGAATATTCCTTTGTCGTACGCCACCTATGCAGCCGAGCACTCTACTGTCCGTCAGAAAAAGAACGGCGAAGCGGCTTTTATGGGATCGTTTTTCGAAAATGTTCAGACGATGCTTAGCACGTTAGTAGGTTAGTCGATAACCCATATCGATGGTGTTTGGGAACAGGCAGATTGAACTTAGCAGCCTTGTATTCGAACGTTTAGCCCTTGTGAGAATTGCCAAGGCGTTAAGACAAAGAATGTGTATCACTATCACAGTCGTGATTATATAGTGGCTATTTCGGGACGCTACCTATACACGAACAAAATCTGCTCTCGCATAATAACCAAGCTCCATTTAGTCCTTTTCAAGATATAACTTAAATATTTAGTATCTAAAACTGATGGATTCAAGATTGAATTCTATGATAGAATTTAATTTTTTTATTAGCTAACTCACGCTTAATATGGGTTATCTTGTCTTGTAATGACATTGACAACTTGTGCTAATTGCCACATTATTTAATTGTGCATGGGTTCGCAACATTATTTTTAGCTTAGATTGTATGCAAAGTGTATAGGACTGCTGCATTACCCATATGTTAATATATACGTTTCTTATGTTCGATTAAAATTTACTGCTTAATCTTACGTTCCCTCATCAATGAAGAGTCGAAGCTGTATTTGAGCCGAGTCAGCAGACTCGGCTCAAACACGGGTTCTAGCAGAGGTTTTAGCAGCAAACGTGCCTGCATCCGAAAATCTATTGACAATCTTATATTAGTTTCCTTTAAAAGGAAGCTGTATTCAATATATTTCTTTGTTTCGCTTGATATGTCTTTTCAAAAAAAATAGCAAAGGTACTCTCTTCTCTTTTTAGCACGTAGTTGAAAGGTTGTGGCCCTCAAGAAAATTATAGGATGTTCATTGATTGGCTATCGCTACTGTTGGTATTGTGTAATTTAAAAGCGATTAGTGAGCTTTTGTTACTGATGATTTTTGAAAATGATATCAAAAATTGCAGAGTGAACCGTTATAATATCTTCTTAGCAGAACAGTTAATATGTGATTGGTAAAGTAGTTCAACGATGAGAGTGCAAGGCGATTGGATTCGAGATATCCTTAATTCAAATTCAATGTTTGGCGCCAGTGTGTGTCCTCAATTTCTACTACAGCTTTTTCGGGTTAGTCCTTACACAGCCCTTAGAGACGGCACGATCACACATTCGAGTGTGCGCACCCTAAGTATGGACGGTCCTCCTATATTGCATGCGAAGACGCTTAACCGGGAATTAATCACTAGTCTTCCATTATAATGGTGGTAAATCAAATATCGAAGATGCGCAGTGATTCTTTAACCATTGGACGCTATTGAAACGACACAGCAGCTTCTCGTGCATTGCACAAACTGTAGCCCTCAACGACCGACGAGTTGGGTAACACTTGACTAATGACGTCTTTATTTTGCTAAGGTAATTCGTTCACATATGCGATCAGCAACTTTGAAAACGTTAGTGTCAAATATAAATAAAAAGGTAATACCCAATAATTCTCTACAGTATCTTAGTTGTTTCTAACCTTCTTTTGCAAAACATCAGTGACTCTGTCTGTTCCGGTTAGAAGATACACGTAAATGGTCGAATTACAGCTGATGTCGCTATTAAGAAGACGTGCTTTCCTATTCCTAGTGGTCATCTTTATGAACTGGGCCTTTGCGAATGCTGATGAGCCATTTACGTGCTAATCAACGTGATGCTTCAAGCAGAAAGTCGTAAGGAGGTCGCAGAATATAGGTAATAGTGCTATGTATTATAACGGTCTCGGATGTAATTATAAGGAGCCTTATGGGATTTTCCCTGAACGTCTTGATTATCTTCAGCCGAAATTTAAACTTTACACACAGGTACTATCATACAAGGGAAACACGTCCCATATCGTTACGATTTTTTTTTCGCTTATGTGCATGTTCCGATTTTTTTTTACTTTTGTTTTGCCTCGCTGCGTACTTACTGCATTTTTTTTCTTAGAATTTCCCAAATACTCCCGCCATGATATTCTGGTATAACAGTTCATTCGGGTTAGAGGACGCAGAAACGCGATGTTTGGCGATCGCTAATGTTAATAACACATGAGTCCGGCGGATCTGGCGATCTTAAATGAAGGCAAAAGCTTCGCGCTGTCACAACGAGTGAGAGCCAACGTCATTGTCGCCGACGGGAAATGAGGCGTGCGCTATTCAACAATGTACTTTGGATCGGTTGCAAACGGTGTAGTAATTGATATTTCTGCCGAAAATATCCAGTTCGTTGGCTTCTCTCTCGGTGGCCAAATGTCTGGCTTTTTTGCTGGACACATTTTCCATGTGAAGCATCACCGCATAGGAAAGATTAAGGCTCATCTAGCTAACGCTAGTTAGCTTAGTTAGCAAGCGCTTTAGTTTAATGATGGTTCCCTTTGGTAACATTGTACGATGTACTAGACGAAAACATTATATAAGGCCAAATGTTCGATTGTTCACAGCTCTCGATAGTGCTGCGTCCCTCTTTGAAAGATACGGCATCTACCCGCGTAAGCAGTACACCTACTTCCTGCACATCTCAGGAGGCAACCTCCTTTGATAAGGAAAGATCGCCATCGAGATCGATTACGGACATGGGGGTTACAATTTCAATATAGGCATTGAGCAACCTGGGGTAATTATTAACAGTTTGTGTCACCTCGTAATTTGCTTTTTATTGTTCAACCTTACCTTTGAGTATTTAATTTCAATATCTATGTTTGTGGCTCATAGATAACTTAGCCTTGCATTTTAGATTTAAAAAAATTGATGCTTATCCCCCCCACCCCAAAAAGAAAACTGCATTTATGGAACTTTTAGCAAAAGGATTCAAGCCATGAAAGACTTGAAACTTTACCGAAGGTACCTTTGGAATTGGAAGGATTAAGCGAATGTAATTGACCCGAAATAAGCTCTGTATTCTATATAAAATACAAATTAGTGAAACGCAAGTATGCAAGAATACCTTACTCATAGAATCTATATGCATCAGTATTTGGCGATCGTTTCTCTCTTTTCAGTTTTTGATCTAGCTTGTTCTCATAACCCCTCATAACGCCAATAGTACATCGACGCCTTGGAGAGCCAAGATCAACGTGTCTATTCAAGACATCGCTATCTCACAGTCACAAACGCCAACCGTAATCATTATGCTTTCGCGAAGGATTTTATTCATTTCTTAGGCATGATCTGAGCTGGCGTAAATGAGACAGTCTACTTCCACAAAACTGACTCTCGAGCTCCTTATTGGTTCAACGATTCCAGTTTCTAAATAAACACTGCCCTGGTCCATAAGATGATGTATGAAACAGGAATTTAGTAGATGTCTGTTTCTTAGGTGCAATAATCTCCGATTATAAACCATTGAGATCTCTGGCCAATTTCTACAATGAGTCAAGGAGGCACTATGGCATGAAAGTCATTTTTTTGGAACAAAAAAAAATATTTTATTTGACTTTTGATTGTTGTACTAATAAACAAAAAAAAAACTTTGTTGGCTACAACCCCCACTCAATAGTGTCTATTTATTTTTCGTCAATTTATAAAGAGTCTAAATTGTTAATTTCGGCAGATTTTACGCGCTTCAACTTACGTGCTTATGATGACCAGAGCCTTAGCTTTCACTTCAATAACACCCGCAGTGACAATCCTATCGAAACAAAACAAAAAAGAAAACACGGAATAAAAATTTACATCTTATTCCAAATAGTCTAAATTCAGGACTATGTATTAGGCATAAGAGATGAATTAAACCTTTATTTGATGACAATGAAAGGGGAAAGCTAAATATCCGAGCAATGGATTAATAAAAAGAACGGATGGCGTGGGCGGATTTGCTGCGACTCTAAAAGCATTGCTAAAGTGACTCTTTTTTCAATCGGTATTTCCTAAAACAAGGTAGCGGGCCTGCAGGTTGTAGATAACAACGAAGTTAGAAGGCTGATTTCATAAGAACCACGGGTTTGCGAAACGCTGGTTCGAGTCCGGAAGTCGCCCGGGGTTAGTATCCGGAAAAGGAGACGCGCATTAAGTTCGTTTATTTTAGGGCTTTTGTCAAAAATCATAATTTTTTCCTGCAGAGCAATACGATTGCCATAAAAAGACTACTAAGAACTGTATGTGTTCGTCCCAGAGAAAAGACCTCTGCTGGGTCCTGGTTTGCACATAGCCCTCAAGTACATTTGATACAGCCATGAGGTTCGTAGCGGGAATCAACAGCTTGCTGTTCCTAAACGAGGGAACTGAAACTGTCAATGCCCGGATAACTTAAGAAAAGGTAAACTTATTTCTGAAACACACCGTCATATAATAAACATGTTTCTAGGTGACTTTCCGACAAATGATTCCTCAGCTAAGAAATCATTATAAAGATTACACTGTATTCTTGATGCTAGCCTTAACGGCGATGTCGTCACCTTAGGTATAATCTGACGCTATAAATTCAGATAGGTTTTCGAGGACACCAAAGTCCTTCGTGTCAGCTATATTTTTAGCTTTGCTTTCAGAAATCAGCGCACGGTCGTCAATTTACAGGTAAACGCGATCTAGTTTTGTCGAGGTTGACGAGGTCGAAAAAACTATATGGGCCAATTAAAAGGAGCGCACACAATTTAACGAAGGCTTTGAAATTTTAGCCAAATTAAGTTATAACTGCTAAAAGTTGAAACGTTACATACACACATCACTCATGTTTTAACATGACTGATTTAATACTATTAAATACGGCCAATATGACAAACATTTCTCAACTTCATATGCTGAGTTATTCAGACATTATCTATAGATAAAAATACATTTTCTTTAGGTTATTCCTAATTGGTCGATGTATCTAAAATAAACCTAATTGAACGACGAAGACAAAGTGGCGTGGAAACATCTTGTTAACGGTGTGTGCAACTACATTGGTTGAATGTCATGGATATATATATGTGGTGAAGGATGATTAGATTGTATTCAGTGCCTATATAAAAGAACAACAAATGAATGTGCTAACTGCAAGCCTAAATAGCCTCTTGATGGCTCTCATTCTTCAACTGGACGCCCTTCGCATCATCACGACTAGACGTGTACAGAGCACGTTGTGATTGGTCGACGGCGTTGTGGGTGTTTCCCATTGCAAAACAAGCTGTGCTTATAAAAAGCCGCTCGATGGTGCAGAAGGAAATCTTTTCCAGTTATAGGTGTAACATTATTTCTGTTTTCAACATTCTGCATCTGACTGAAGCTCTTGTTAATACTCCAGGACTGATGAAGACGTTTGTACTCATCTTGCTTGCAATTTTCGTTGTGCTTTTGAGCACGGCGTGCGCTGAACGACAATGTAATGCCTGCGGTCCAGAATGTTCCGGTCAGTATAAACATTGTAATAGTAACGTACCGCTGAGAATGTGTAGTATGTCACCCTAGGGTGAATATGAGAGTCAACCTAGTGGGCAACGTATCTGTATGCTAATCTTAGAGACACGTTATGGTCGTTTCGAATTTATGCACAGACAGTTTCGTGCTGGAAGCCAGCCGTCTGCTTAACGGCCATGTCAGCAGTATAATTTAAAATACAGAGATTCAGACCTGTTGGTTCGTATGACGCTTACAATTTTCATAAAGTAGTCACTTTTATTGAATGTTTTCCTTGTTATTATTTTTTTATTCAATTTCTAAGTTAATGGTTTCCAATCTGAGTAATCTGTGTATCTTTGTGATATCAGTGTATTATGCACACTTATGTCCGCATAGGAGTATTTATGAACGCGCAACTCTTGTTCCCTTCGTAAAGTGCTTACAAAATATGGCTCCCGTTTTAATATTGTAGCAAGTTACTAACAGCTTTAGCAGAATTTGGTAATGGGTATGCTGGGCTGGGCTGGACTGTTGATGATTACAATGAAAACAAAAAAATCTATGATACTTTTAGGTTTTGGTGGTTTCCGCTTCATAAAAGACAAGAGCCTGTCGAGCAGAGCTGAAGTCCCATCAGCTAGACCTATATTTGATTGACATTATCGTTGGTTTCGAATTTGGCTATTCTCCCTCTGGAATTATCTCATTCAAATAGTCGGACTCTACGTTTCATTATTTAGCATCACTGTCTAGTAAAATAAGAGCAGTCCTTTTAATTATAATTTACTATGTGATAATATAATAATATAGTAATAATTAACTTATCTAAATGCGCCTGAGTTAAAATGAATTTGATTAGCCGGGACCGTGGATAGGCTAATACAATATAACACGAACACGAAAAAAGAAATTCTTATTGTGATCTTATCGTTTTAGAAAAGAAACATTATATGTAATGAAAATCCGTTCATGGCTGTACGTAGCTAGCAGACGCTTTCATATTTGTTGATTTTGGGATTCGCAGGTGCTTGCGGCACCGCCATGTTCCGGGCGTGTTGCTTTAACTACAATCGGAAACGTAGTCTTCAGTTGATTCCACCCCAAATGGATCATACGGAACAAGATAATGGAGGGACTCAAACTCTTGATGGGACGTTGGCTTCCCTACCGAACGTTATTGGACTAAAGCAGGCCGTGTGGCGAGCCAGGAAGGCCGGCTGCGCAGTTGATTACTAAATAGGATAACCATAATTTTTGCCTTTTTCTTCTACAAATGATAGAAACTCATTGACCAACTCACCGAAGCTAGTTCATTTCAACCACAGCATGATAATGCACACCATATGCATTAAGTCTGAACTCACCCTCGATGCTATAACAGTTATACAAAAGCTAAAGTATTACGGCTGTAAGCTAATATATTTGGAAGCTAGTTATTTCTAATTAACCTCTCCTAGTCATCACGTTGAAAGGGATGCATAGGTCTTGCAAAAACATAACCATTCGCCCCATGAAATGGGCAATACGATGGTCGTAGTCAAATCAGGTTCTAGATAGACTTCATAACGAATTGCTATTACAAAAATACCAACCGATAACAACTAATACGTAGGAACGTTCAGCAGAGCTCAGGACGCCTTACGGAAGCCAAACATACACAATAGTTGGTTCGCTAACATTTCGACCCTATGAAACACTACGGTGGTACGGACAACTTTTTCGCTGGAACAATCCACTGCAGCCTCGGGGTCGGCAAGAATAGCTGGACGTTATCGCGCGCAACTGCGGCGACAGGCACAGAATGGAAGGAAGATTGCAAGGCACAAGTGGCACCAAGGCGTCTCACAAGACCTACAGCAGGGCAAATTGTCCTTAACAGTACACTAAACTCAATGTGCAATACTTTTTGTAACTGTGCTAAGAAGACGAGTGTCTAAATTTCATCAAGGTAGATTTCACTGACGAATTACCTGAACTGGTAAACAACAAACGTGGCGCAGCCATGACGTGTGATCTCTTTTAGGAACACTGGCAACTTTACCAGCATCAATGACAGCGACGAGACAACAGCCTACGTAGAAGGAAAGTAAAATAAAAATTGCATCTAGATGACGATGTTATTGTGGTTTATGCCAAATAATATGAAGTTGCTCAAGGACGCAGTAACAACAGGCTGGTGCATTAACAAAACAACAACAACAATGATTATTAGATAAGTTGTGTGAAATCGTTTAATGACGCCGTGCGGCGTCACAATCGTCGCCGGGGCCCCCCCTAGCCCCTAGAGAGAAAGAATAGTTTAGAGTGTAGAGTCAGAGCGTACTATTTCGAATCATTCCATAGAAAATACCGTGTATGCGAGCTCTAACTAAAATAAAGCCGAAAATGTATTCTTTGCGAGGTGTTGGACATAAATAAAACATTCTGACGCTTGAAAGAGCCAAGAAGTGATTAATTTCAGTATTAATGACTTTAGCGATCGTCTTGCGTATTAGCAACATTTTTCCGTGAACAAGTTACCTTTTCGAGACAGAGAACCCAACGAACAATGATATTCAAGGTTTCAATTCCTCAATGAGGTTAAGACACCCCTTTTCCCTTTCTATTAACAACGACATGCTGGGTTCGATTAGTACAGTTCATTGGGTGAGATCTATCCTAACATTCTAAAAAATTGTTTTTTTTTTTTTAATTTTGAATGAAAATTGAAAAGAAAAAAATCTAGACAGAAAAACACGTCTATTGGACACGATAATTAACGACTTTAGTCGACGACACTATCTACAAATGTCTAAAGATATATCTTTACGGTCGTTATCACTAGTTGACGTGTAATAGTATGTTAATTTCTTACACACAATTATGTGGTATCGTTCATAAAAATACTCGACCGGTTCTCGCTCTTAGTTTAGAGAATTAAATTCTCCCGGTGAAGGTGCCTTGGGGTATTTCTTTGGGCTATCTCTCATCATTTGTACATTGAGGAAGAACAGCATATTTACCTAAATTTGGTTTCCCTATGCTTGTAGTTCCTAAAGGACCAGTAATTTCTTGCGATCTGTTTTCTCATTTACTCATTGCCATCATCTTTCAAATTTGCGACGGAACAAAACTATCTTGAATACACATTCTATAACTATTCAGGCTATTTTAAAGCAGCCGGTAAATTGAAATACGAACAGAAGTTCCGTCTTCTGGATACGAAACATTTGACAGTACTTCATACAAGACCAGCACAGGATACAAAAGACAGTTTTATAGAAAATCGTTTGTTTTGCTGGGCTTGTTTTCGTTAGGCTATACAACATTACTTATCTTTCAGTATTAGAAGCCGCCGCTATTGTTGCTGGCAGTCGTATTGCTTCGTAAAACCTGTGTGTCGTTGGAAAACGTCCATGATGTTGTGGACGACATGTAACCGCGCATTTGCAAGCGGCAATGGCGACAATGCCATGACGTTTCGCCGAAGGCAAGGGGTGATTTGCCGAAAAGGACAAAAAACAAACGAGAAAGTGGCTAGTTGCTTGATTGCTTCCGACTGCTAGGTTTGCTAACAGCAGGTTACTATTGTTGCCACCATTTGCGAGAGGACGGCACCCTCGCGGTATCAATTTTCTTCTCGTTAGATGGCGCCACAATCACAAGCGGTAAAGCAAAAGGAAAGTTCTGACTATATTTTAAACGGCAGTCGACAGTAATAGCGTGCTGTCGAAGAACTGCAAGAATCGTCACTTTATTAATATTTATCATTAAAAAGCGTAAATAAGAAGCAGAAGAAGAAATAAACAAAGACAATGACACTCAAGTAAGTTTGGTGAGAGATTGTGCATTTGTTGTGCTTTTGTGATGAAAGCAAGTGTTCGATGCTTTTATGAAGTGTGCTATTCTAACGGTGTGCGAACAAGAGAGTTATGGTAAAACGTAACAGCTTTACAGCTCAGTATATAGCTTTTCGTTGCATCGGCTTTCCTTCTGAGTCGTAATCGTAAACAAAAAGGATTTTGATCAATTTATGTAATTATTTTTGGTAAGGGTAACATGGTTACAGTAACTACTGGTTGTATTAGTTTGTATTTGTATGCTAAATTAACGATATCGTTCTTACTTTTAGAAAAACGGGAAAATATGAAACGCGTATTTTCTATTCGCTTTTAGAAGTTTGTATATAGTGATACGAAATGTATTATCATTAGCTAACAAGCTCCTGTCTCATAGAAGATTCGAAAAGGCAACAAAACCATCATCGAAAAGGTAACCTAGTTGTTTTGGTTGACAAGCGCCTTTTTTTTCGTAGGGTATTTGTCGCGTTACGGGCCTTAAGCCACGAATTCGTCATTTTCTACAAAGTTTTCTTTCAGCGCTAGTTCTCAGCCGCTGTCATGGGAGCCTGGCAAGTGTTTAACGGTGCTGTTTGGCATTGCTCCAGAGACCAAGTAGACGAGAGAAGCTACATGTGCGATTGTTAGGTAAAATTAGGCTGCAAATATTGATTATTCATAGGTTCCTTCTTCCGCTTTTTTGGCCAAGCGGTCACAATAAACTCATCTGCGTTTTCTCCAATAAAGCTCCGTAATGGTACATACGTACGGGTACCTGCTTTTTGCAACTCGATGTTTTTGTAAACTTCATTAATGGTTGGCCGTGCGCCGTAAAGCACTAAACGCACAACAAAATAAAATACAACGTTTTCAGACCATATGGACCCTTCTGTTTCAGCGCAAAGAATACGAGTCATTGCATTCGTGTTACATTTAGTCGCATTACCATTCATAGTAGGAAAAAAAGGGGTAAAGTAGTGAAAACCCTTTGCATCTATGCTTGTTCAATCCAATGGAACCTTATTATTCTAATCACACCAATAAATATCTATCACACGGCTCTAATTAATGTGAGATTTATTTCAACCAGTGTTATTTCCTTCGGAACTGCTGTGATGATTATTTACTAGAAATTATTATCATTGGCACTAAGACCACAGAAAATAACGGGCAATGTAGGAAATTTTTTATTTTAACCTAGTGAATATCATTTTGCCCTACGACGTGCTCTATGGACTTCTTACGAGTTGTTAGGAAACATCGCAAAAGTATTATATATATATATATATATATATATATAGATAAGAGTTAATAGAGTTCGCTTTTGCTGCGGTACTTACGTTCATAGTGGCCTGCTGCCGATTCCTACGCGTTTTCTGCTATTGTTCGAGCAAATATTTGATATAACATTGGCAGGCTTTTCTTTTCCAGTGAGTTTTCTGTTCGCCTCAGTTTGTACGTATTCGTACCGGTTTACAGCATTCTGCATCTACAGGGCAATTGTCTCTACTAAGTTTACATGGTCTACGCGCCAACTTATTAACAACGATGTCTGCTTTTGGAAAAATGTAGTTATAATTTCAAGGCTCTTGTACCGGTGCTGCGCAGAATCTTTTTTCGGCCACTTCGGAAATACTCGTCTTAGTGGTAGTCTGTTCTCATATGCAATGGTCCAGCTTGGTTTTCCGGGCAAGAATTTCCTGAGGAAAAGTCACGTAAAGCGTCATCGACGACGTAATAGATGTGGTGTTCTTGTGGAGCTTGCCCAAAATGCGTCCCTCTATTATTATCAGAAGCATATGACGTTTCTCTGGTCTAATGCTTTTGGGAACCATTATGAACAGTTCAATAAATATTTCAGCACTATAAGAACCTGATATATATACAATATTCTATCGTAACCGAGTGATCGTCAAGGTGGGTAAGACATGGCAGTTCCTATGTTGACAGCTAGGAACAACAACGATGGTGCGGCGCTTTTTCGTCCGGGCGATCCTGGCTACGGACGAGTTGCGACACCGTAATTTGTCGCGCTGTTTCAATATATGGATTTTTTATTTTTTTATCTATTTACTTTATAGCAGATACGGCGTCTTCAACCAGCCGGATTGCTAGTTCTTGCGCCTATGATATTCAACCGTGCGTTCCAGAATGGTCATCTAAGGAATAGATATTAAATGTGCGCCAACAGTGCCAGTGGCGGTATCAGTCTAAGTTGATAATCAACATTAAGTTAACAAAATAACGTTAGGCCCCTAGTTATTCCATTTATTTTTCGTTTACTTTGACAACAAATGGTGGCATCGTAAGAAGGTCGTACTTCCGTACCCGAGCCGAAAAATACGAAATGTGGAAGAAGCGTATTCATCTACGAACGGAGAGGGCCTGAGTTTTCGGTATATCACAGGTATCTGAAAAAGTTAGTTTCTGATAAAGCGATTAGTAAGTTGAGCAGCACATAGATAAGAAATTATTTAAATTATTCCTGAGTGTCCTTAACGTCGCCTTCCAGGGTGGTGTACCCTGGAACGCCACAGGCCATAGCTTTAAAACAACGAGTGTAATTTACATTCGCACCTGACTTAGCAGCTGCACAGTGTACACTTTTGGGCAGCACATGATTATTTACTCGATTAGACGGGATACGGTTTTTGTGTCAGACTTGTATTACCCATTCACTTACTGTCGGCATATTTCATTCGTTTCCTCTTAAAATCCAAATCTGAAAACTTCGGAGAAGCAATACAGGGTACTTATAATAATACGTAAAAGTGTACTAAAACAAATGTACTTGCGGTTGCCGTCGGTGATTGTAAGATCTTTCGTTAACGACTTTTGGAAAACAGAATTGACCAGTTAAGTAAGAACTATCTATTCTATCTACAAATCTTATTTCGAAATTGTGCTAACGTTCTACTTGATCAGCATTATCTATGTTAAGTTCTCAGTACTCGCTCTGATTTATCACGGTACCTAACCATGGCGGTTTGCCCACCTATTCAGTTTGTATTATCAGTAAGTAGATTGTAAGAAGTAATCGTTGAAAAATGCCGCATTCTCATAGTGCTAAAATGGTGCAATATAGAGTGCTATTGATTATTAACATTCACTAACCTTCATGAATTGATTTGTAAAACTATTGCTAAACTTTTGGGCGGTCTACCAGAAACGAAATGTCAAAAATGAGACAAATATCACTTCCATTTTCAGCCTCTCTACATAAACTTCGATGCTCAATTATTTAACGCAAAATTTCTAATATTCGTATAGAAATATCAAGAAGTTTTCTTGCAAAAAAGAAGCATGACGTAATTTGAAGTTTCGAAACGTGGCTAATTATTTCGGTGTTGATTTGTCGATCATTACAGCATACTGATCCGTTCAAAGCTATTATTTCGGTTGATAATTCTCGTTGGGACCGTTGCCCTGATTGACTCCAAATGTTACATTCTTATGCCCCAGGATTTTTACGAAAAACACCAGGACGTTTCAGGTATGCTCAGGCAATGTCGTATATATAGCTATCGTTGAATTAGCTAATCATGCGAGTACGAGCTATGGATGATTGCTTTGGCTATTACGAAAGGCTACTCTAAAAACCAGGGTTTCTAGTTGTCTTCCTTTGTCGTTCTGAAAGCTGGGTTATAGATCAGCTGTAAAGGCAAAATGAAGTAAGCGGTCTCATTTAGAGACATGCAATTCATGTTTGTAGTAAAATGAATTAATTATAAAATAAGATTTCACTACAAAAAACATTTACAGTCTTGACGTCCTAGAGAAACTCAATTACGTAGATATTACTAAACTTATTAGATTAAACTTATAAGAACTAAATATAGAAACTTAGAAGACTAAACTTATTTTTTAATGCATATTGCAGAAAAATCTATCCATATTGACGAAACGAAGGGCCAAATAATCAGTCTACCTAAAAACTATTCACAGGTGTGTAGCTACAATAAGAAGAATATTTCTAACCGTTTTTTTGTCATACATTTGATCCTAACTCTGCTTTTAATTTTATCAAAATCAAGATTTTCCACATGTGTAACAAGTCTGGCACTGGATAGTATAGGTAATTGCAAATAAGAGCAAATTACAGAATAAAAATGTCGTGCAAATATCTACGGTATATTTAAACTAAAATTGTTAAAATAAAGAAAAATTCCAATATAATGGTAGAGCATTATCCGATAAGCTTCTACCTAAATTTAGCTTAATCAGACTGCGAAACAGGAGCTACAAGGACTGCTATGATTCCCGATATCCGCCCTAGGCTTAATCTACACGGTTTATTTTACAATATTATTTTTGAATTTCATCGATCAGCTTCAGTAGCATAAAATTCGCCTTCAATAATATTCATATGACTTGGAGACCCGGTAGATTTTATAGAAGCAGTGCTTGTTTATCGCATTTATATAGGTTAAGATCATTGTAGAGGACGACAACAGCGCTTTGACAAACAGCGAAGTCGCAAGCGATCCGGCTCCAGGGACGTGCACTACCTTGTGGACTACTACATCTTTACGCGCTGGGATTTCTCGGCAATTTTTTAACCGTAGAGTAAGTACGTCAGATACTACTTCAAAGAGTAGTTCCGGAACACAGAATTCATCGACTGCAAAAGAACAGGTGCCAAAAATGCCCGTGGTGCGCATTAAATCAGGAATTATAATGGGTAAGATCATTAGCTTCTTGTCCAGAAAACAATTATTTGAATTCTACCTTTTTACTTGGTGGATAATTTTTCAGCATAGGATTAAATTCATCATATATACCTGATATTATACGATTTTATCCAAAATGCTATACGCTATTCCACTGCATTAGTTGCGTTTTTGACATAAGTTCTCTATTTAGTCTACATATATCTGAGATATGCTCGTTCATAATTTAGGGCTTATAGACACTTCCGCACCAAATACAGTCTACAAATTTCTTGGAGTTCCTTTCGCGGAGCCACCGTTAGGTAAGCTCCGCTTCAAACATCCCGTTGAAATTTCGCCTTGGTCGGGCGTTTTCGAAGCGCACAGAAAGCCTCTTCCATGCCTGCAGGGTCCATTCTATATCAACAGGTAAGCAGATGAGCCTGAATCAATCTGGATTAAGACGAATGCTTTTTCACTGTATACGTTGCTGATTAAAAGTTCGGTGACACCCCTGCTGGTGAATACTTGATATTTCAAATGGACATATCCATAGCAAATTAACCTAAGTAATCGTATAATTCGTTAGCAATTGGACAATCGATAACGTAAACTCAACCGAGGATTGCCTCTATTTGAATCTATGGACTCCGGATAGCTGCGTCACTTCTACCAACTCCGAGTGTACACCCAACAAGTAAGGTTTGCTATGACTAGAATTTACCTATTGTTTCCTGTTAATGTATCTAATGATGTCCAACTCGCTTAGGATCTCAAAATTTCCCATTGTTCCGTTTCATAGTGAGTCTGTAGGGAGCTGAAGTTGAGAAGTTCTGAAAATGCCTTTTGGATGCGTTGGGTACTCATCTTAGATACACAGCTAATTTGTTTATGATGTATTAAATGAGCCTATATATCGTTAGAATTGAAGCCGCACACATCCCTAAACAAAACGATTATAATTAAGTAGGTAATACTTATATTTTGGGTCAAGGCAAACACGCCACATTGAGCAACACCATGCACTTTACTATTGTAATTCCGGCACAAGTTTGACAATCATGGTGTGTTGTTTACGGTGTTCATGCTATAACAAACTTCATGTCAGATCAGTGATGGTGTTTATCTACGGAGGCACGTACACGTTTGGCTCTTCTGGATGGGAGATGTATGACGGAGCTCAGTTGGCTGGTAGAGGAAACGTAGTCGTAAGTAGTGCGCTTCAGCGTTTCATCAGGTCTCAAAAGCACCAGCTTTTCCTAGCTTGCATTCATGAATAATCTCAGTGCTTTTTTTCTTCATATACCTTATATGCATTTTGCTTTAATGTCATAAAGAGCATTTCCGGGATCATTTTAGGCTTAAGGCGCCAAAATGACGTAGCTGGCGCTTTACCTAGGTACGGCCAGCTCGATGTAATCGATATGTCCAATGTGTCCAACAATTCAGTAGTGCGTGGGCGTTTGTCCGCAATGCTGCATAAAAAAGTAAAAGAGGTTCGTGTCTAGCTTATGATCTAAGATGTAAAAGATTAAAAGGATGCGAAAATCTTGAATACTTCCACCTATGCTATACGGTAAAAGCGCCGAAGTGTTCTAGGTAGTAGACAACCATGGACTAACTGAACACCTAATTAACGGATTAAATTCAGGTGGTAACATTCAACTACCGCGTAGGTCCTTTAGGATTTTTGTACGGGGGTAATCAAGATGCCCCCGGGAACGCCGGGCTTTTTGACCAACTTATGGTTCTAAAGTGGGTACGTCGCTTCTCAATAGATCTCATTTATTTCAATTAGATCGTTACCGTTAATGTTCTTCAAGCCCTCTAGCAGGACCGCAGTTCCGTTGTCGTTTTAACGAAAAGTTGTCTACTCGAATTCATTATACTGGCGTATGTTCCGGTCGCTGCTTATTATCAACTAAAATACTTTATAACTTATAATGAACTTACTTACAACTTATAACTGAATAATTATACCGAAATGTATGCTAGAATGGGATATTTCTTGTATTGTATCGTCACTAATTTAGGTGCAGGACAACATTATAAAATTAGGCGGCGACCCACGGGACGTAACTTTGTTCGGACAGTCAGCCGGAGCAATTTCAATAGGTTTCCATATGGTCTCTCCACTTTCACAAGGACTCTTCCACAAAGTTCGTACACCTATAGCTAGCAATAATCATATTCGGTAATTTAATGAGTATGCATCAAAAATACTAAATAAAAGCCGCTTGTTTCTTACACTTTACAAAACTCGCAAATATTTTATTTGCCTGTACGCGCGTGTCAATAGGAAGTTGGTTAGCTGTAGCAACGTTTACGCGAGCCAATAATGCTTAAATCAAATTCAGGCCATCCTTTTTGACAAAATCAATCGAGACATTGTTTGTTTTTTTATGAAATACATGATTCTGTTTTGTCCAAGGTAAACATAGATTGTATGTTTTCAGCTAGCACGGTGACATATACCCCCACACAGATATAAACCTTTATTTCGATCTTGCTGGCCGCTTTTACGCGCTACTTGTTTCGTAAGGAAGATGATGCGTTGGTGTAGTGCTATGTCAGGCATTGTTACATGACTAGTGTTGTAATTGTTCCGCACGGTATCGATCAGGTCATTATGGAATCAGGAAGTCCACTCTTCCGACTTACTGACCCAACCCGTGAAGGGCCAAAAAAGATCGAAAAACTGGCCTACGCAATGGACTGTATACAAGACGGACAGACCATCGAAACGCATTCTAAGGTAAACAAACAAGTACTTAATATTTAAATAATAAGTACTTAATAAGTAAATCATCTTACTGATGATATATATGCGAAACGCACAAGCAATGCAAAGATTTGACGAACTTTTTCGAAGTGTAGAAACAGTTTTTCAGTAACTTCAACTCTAGTTACAATGTGTTATAGGACTTGCAACATGTCAGCTCTATAAGTTTGTTTGTCCTTTTTCTGTATTTGAAAAATAAGTTTACGAATATGATTTAACTGTCTCCACTTGCAGGAAGTGGTCACTTGCTTACAAAACAAAGATGGTAAAGAACTCGTTAACACGACTCTGTTCACGTTTGGAATAAATGCATTAACGTTCTTTCCAATTCACGGTGATACATTTTTGCCTGAGCCTGCTGAAAAGCTTATCAACACCGGAAAACTAGCAAAGGTAAAATTTAAGTTTGATTTTCCTATACAGAAAAACACTCCATGGTTCGCACAGATTTAACTACTTTCGGATGTGATTGAATTGAAGTGATGCAGACCAATTCCGTTAATGTAAGCCTACTTAATATTAAGTTGCGAATATAGTTCTATAATTAAAGCATGGTCTAGCAGTTTCGTCCAGTAGTCCTCCAGCTAAATATTTCTTAAATATCCGCCTGTACTTTTTTAAAATTTCGAATTAGTTTCAGACTCGATTTAACAGGAGTAAACATCTGCGCGCTAGCAGAAGGCATTCACTGGCGCAGCTCTTTGAAGTTGGCCCCACATAGTAGATAGTAGAAATATAATGATTATTATAATAATTTCAGAGATTTATTATATTAATTAATATATTATTGCATAGGTGCCCCTGCTAATTGGAAATAACAAGGACGAAGGTTCGTATTTCGTTTACTACCTGTTTGGTAGGTCGCTGAAGCTCGAAGACGTCAGCATGGTTCGTAGCTTGCTGAATATCTTATAGTTTTTTTCTATTCCAGTTATCTATCTGCTTGAGCTTTGGTGGTTCTCGTTAAAATGGAATAATTTTATTAATTAATTATAGCTAGGCTCGTTAGGAAGGTTTATGAACAGATATTTATTTAACTTTAAAGTCCTTACAACCAAGTCAAGTTGAAATAGCCACTATTATTATTATTATCATTTTAAAGGGTGGAAAGTAAACGCATATAGACAAATTGAGTCGATCAAAAAGATCAGACTTAAATTCTATTCCACAATTCCAAGTTTTCTTAAGTTTCTAATTATGGAGGAACATCAATGACCGATTGAAATACGCAAGTGTTTAGCACACGGTCGCAAAAAAATTTTATAATACAAGTAACAAAACACGGCATTTTAGCCTACAGCTTATGAAGCAGCGGAAAATCGAAAAATGTCAAAAGCCTATGCGTCCGACCCCCGCCTTAAAATTAGTAATTAGTTTAACCATAAGATACAAAGCCTAGCTTACCTGAATGCAGCGACAGGAGTAGATCTTTTTCAAACAAACTGTGGGGAAGGTAATAATGACCTATTAAAGCTACCTCCTCCGCAACGGTGTACGCAGCACCTTGCTGCTGAGCATGTTTTAACAGTTTTTTTTTCAGGTTACCAAATATGAGGTCGATCTCTATATGACATTTAGTCTACAGATGCTTCTGCAAACTAACGTGCGGACTATTCGTGAACGGTATCTTCGCAATGTCAAAGAAGATGAGGGTAAAAATAGCAATAATTTACTTGATATTGTTTGTTCTGACATGAGTTAAGGTTATCATTTGAGCAAAGCTAAATTCAAGTCTTCAATGTAAGCTTTGTTTACCAGCTCAGTATTTGGCAGGATTAACCACTGATAGTTAACAAGCTGTACCCCAGGTTCTTGGTTGTATGACTCTCCTTCGAAAAATAAATTACCTAAGCATATAATGCGCATGAAAGTCTACATAAATTAAATTATTTATTAAACTACTAATGCTCTATATCTAAATAGCCATTATTAATATATATAAACCGATAAAAATGTTTTTGAATTTTCAGGGCGAAAAGCAATTCGGAAAGCAGCCGAACTGGTTGGTGATTTAGCAATGATTTGTCCGACAAAGTATTTTGCTGAGCAGGCAGCCATGCAGGTCTGTGAATGAATTCGGTGGTTCATTCTTTTTTCAGTATTACCGTTAAAAAGTAGTTTATATTAATTCACCATTTTGCCAGATGAATCCGCTGGGAAAGCAAAATGTATATTTTATTAATTATTTTCAATCATCCTGCCGATCTAATAAACTAACCTCATTAGGAGTGTTGCTAGGAAGAAGAAGAAGAATTACATACTCCGACTTTTCCATTATTACTCTTGCTCATAAAGTAAGACGAGACATTTTACTAAGCAGTTATTATTCTTGTATCTCATAGGGTTTAAATGTGCATTATTACGAATTCAACTTCCGCAGCTCTTTCGGAACTTGGCCCGATTGGGTCGGAACGACCCACGGTGAGGAGGTGAGATGCGAAATACGCGAGCAATAACATACCTGGATGCTTTTTAAATTTTTCGCTTTTATGTGTTTGGCCTAGAGAACCTTATATGTGCCAAAAAAAAATACGTTATAAGATGAATATGTTATAAAAAATGTACTGTATGCCCCTGAAACATGATTTTTTCGGTGGAACTGTGTGTGCTTATCTAAAGTGTTAAAATATCGATCATATCTTCGCAGATCCCTTTTGTGTTCGGGCATCCTCTTAGTGGTTTGGAGCCCAACGCCACAAACCGTGAAAAGGAGGTCTCAAAAGAAATCATTTCTATTTGGACAGACTTTGCCAAAACTGGGTTAGTACTATGTAGAAAACAGACCTATCGAAACTGCTGAACGTATCTCTATTCTATCGCACACGTACAATGTTTCTGAATGGAAAGAAAGTAGGCTTTCTTTGTCTCGTTCGTTTGATTACATTTAAGCAGATTATAGAAACATACGAGAGGATTGAGCATTGGTTAGAACAGCTCTTTATTAGTATTATTATATTATTGGGATAAATTGTTCTAAAATAAAATTGCTTAAATTTGACAGTTTTATTAATTATGTTCAGTCACAGGTAGAAAAGCTAGTAACCTTACTTTTAAACGCATACTTGCAAGGTCGACCAGAAGAACATAGCGTCTTAAATTTTCAGTGTAACCAGATAAAATATCTTTCTTCTGGATTACTGGATTTACAAACATTTTTCCATTGAGATAAAACGAAATAGCTCTACTCTTCTGTTACTAGCAATAATAGTCCCTTAGAGGCCCGTTTTATTTTCAGTTCTCAATTTTTGAATTTCACTAGCGTTTATATGTCTGTATACTACAATGTTTTTTCTTGGAAGCTCATTGTTTAACTATATGTCGTGCGTTATCTAATTTCGAAAATTAGCTTAACTAACTCGACACGGTTATATATTGGCCACTCGAAGATAGGCACCATTATGTCTCGCTATTCTATTCGGTTCCTACTGCCAATAATAATCATTTTAATACAACCATAATAATAATAATAATGGAAATCGAAATCTTGCTCTGATTTTTTTGTGATTCGCACTATTTATTCGGTAACCACCCGTTTATATAACTGCGAAATTGCAGAAGAGTGCCTGTCAAAGTTGGGGGGGTGCCATGGCCTAGGTACACAGCCGATGAACAGGTACGTTTCTTTTGCTTACTTCTTGTAACTTACATGAATAGTTTTTGGATGGCGTCTACAATAACACCTCATTTACAGCGCGGCGTGTTTCGTTAAAATGGCGTTACAGTTTACATGCAATGATGAGTTATTTGTTGAAGTATATCGTACTAATTGTTTGTAACTGCTCGACCTGACAAACGATGTGTCACAGCTCCGCGTAGTGTAGTTGGAAGATCAGAAATGTTTCAAAGTTCTCATGTTAACTGTACCAACTTTTGCCATTTATAAGAAGGCGGCATACCACCTCCAATGTGGTGTGATAAGCGTATATCTTACGTGTTTGCAGTATTTGTCTAAGTCGATCATTGATTAATTTATTTTGTTCGTTTTTACAGGCTCTTCTTCTATACGGGCCAGAGCAGAACAGTCTAAGAAAAGGTCCAAACGAACAGATGTGCAACTTCTGGCGAAAGTACATACTGGAATCGTACTGAAAGCAGAAGCATAAGATATAATGTTTGAAAAAACAACTTTATCAAAGTGTCAGGCACAACAAATATTTCTTTGCGACCCTTTGAAATTGTTTATGTCAAAGAAGCACTTTCCAAAACATAAACGTCTTCAAAATGGATTCCATGATAAAAACAAATGAGCTGTATATTTGCCTACTAGAGAACTCGACGAATTTGAGTAGCCCTAGAGCACGTATGCATTCCTATTATATTAATAAGCATACCTGCATTACCTCTCTTGTTTACAACATGAGCATGCGAACGATTTTAACAATGAATGTATATGGTACTCGTTTGCCTGACAACACACTCACCTCTTGCATATGTACATGTATGTGTGTGTGAGAAAATGATTTTCTGTACATAAAGTACATCATAAAAACATGATGTTTCTATACACAGTGTACAGTCTTATTTCAATAGGTAGTCGTAAAGCAACATTATAGTTCGATTTGAAATTCGACGGCTTCTGTAACTTTGTGTATTCGTAACTCGTATAATTATTTGTGTTCATATATATTTACATAGTAGCATTGTAATTATAATTTTAGTCAATGCTAGTAACGATTGAACTTTGCCAACATGAAATCGGTAAATTATAGCACCAGAGCTATAAGGATAAACGTGTCTAAGTGTGACATTAATTGCTAGTACGTACACATGATGGTTAGGATCGGGTTTCGCAATAATGAAAAAAATAATACTGCTTAGTTATACAATTCGATTGATGTTATTTTTAGTTTTAAACTACCTAGTTCTTATAACATCGTTGAGTTGGAAAATATCCTGCCAGTAGTTCTTCTATTTTTTTTATCTAATTACAAATGTTACTTTGTATTTGCCAGTATCAAGAAGTAGACTAGCAAAAACCATTTTTTCAATTAGAAATTTTCAAAGTTGTACATAAGTAAACTTTAAGGGTTTTTTGCAATGTATGCCTTTTCCTTGCTTTTATTAGAAATGTATTATTGTGCAGTTACGCGACGCGTTCAGTATATACTCAATTGTTGTTCTCTAGTGAGAAGTTATCGAATCTTAAATCACAGCGACGTCTATCGCCGCCAACTAGCCTCAAAGTAGAAAACATCTGCCGTTGCTTGTTGCCATGCACGCATATGTTTTCGGAGTGCTCTGGCTCCTAGCGGAAACCAACGTTCCCCTGCTTATGCCTAACCGCCCGGCTTCTGATCGAATGTTAAGAGCCTCTGCGGCGCAGCGCTTGATGCGTTCATCCTAATGATTGTGAGGGTGTGCTGAAGACGCCGGTTGTTTGGTTGACGAGTTACCGCTTACCTGCTCCGGTTAGCTGGCCGCGGTCCTGTTCGCTCGCTCGGTTGAAGCCGCCGCTGTTACTGCTTCTGCTGCCGCTCCTGCCGCCGACTCAGGAGCAAGTACTGCCTGAACAACTGGCGATCCTTCAGCAAGCGCCGACCATCCCTGCAGCATCATCGTCAGCCACTACGACTAGCGCCGAATTCTCGAACTGGTAGTTTTGCATTTGGCGCCGATTCTACCAGTAGCAGCACTTCGCCTCCGCACGTATTCTGAGGTAAGTAGCCATTGCATTTGCGGTAAATAACAGCTAATTGGCTTGATCTACAAATCGTAGCGGGATGAGTTGGCGGCCTGAGCGAATCATCGCAAGTGGTGTCGTGCGTCTTATAGTAGAAGCTAAATTTCTGTTGTTATACAACGGTGTGCGTGTGATTGGATGCTATTAGTGCTATTGTTATGCTGTTGCTCCCGCCACCGCTGTTATGCTGCACCCTGGTTTGAGATAGATAGCTTTAGCACCGATAGCTGGCTGTGCCTATCATTATTGCAAGCACGATAGCTACGAAACAAAAAAACCAATAATAAGAGGGCTTGTTAGGCTATGCTTCTTCGATGTCATCTACTTAGCAGTCAGTTAGTTTGCCATTTATTAGATGACCTATTTGTATCGTTTAATGGCTCGCATTCGGTTTGACAGTGCACCAGAATTTTCTGCTCCGACTTCTCAGTAACAGCAGCCTTGCGCAATTCCGAGTAGACGCCCGAGCGATATTGTCATCAAGACGACGCGATACATTAGCGCTTGTGGAGGCGATAACGACAATCGAGGCTGGACGGATGCGGATAGCCGAGCGAGAGTGGGTGGTTGTTTGGGTGATGTTCGTGTCTAGTTTATGATTGAATTGGTGGTAGAGTTATAAGTTTAAACTGAAGTGATTATACTAGGTGCACATTTTTTGACTTTTCCTAATTACCAAAGAGACTTAGTTCTGGTAAGCATGTAAATAAATAACTAATGCCAAGAATATGTCAACCTAGAAAGCATATTCAACAAATTAATCATTTGGTTTGATAAGGACGATACTAGAAAGTAGCATGTAAGCATAACCAGTAAATGGCTGGTTTTTGCGAATTGCATACACACTATCGGTTGAGGCGGCTTAGCCGAAATTCAGTTACATGTTGTATAATTAATAATAGAACTGGAAAATCAGCCTCATTATTGTGGATCAATATGCTAGTACCAAGCGAGGAAAATATCGTTACTAAATGTTAGTTATTATTATTATATGAATTTCAGTAAATTTATTTTATATATTCGAATTTCTCAGAAAATATTACAAGATATCATTTAAATTTTGCATACTTATCTTAATTAATCATATTGAAATTAAATCATATGCGCAGATCAGAAGTCAAAATATTGCCAAGAAAAGAGTAATTGCAGTAGGCATATTTTTTCTTTCATATCATTGCAATGCTTTTTGAATTTGGCAGTTTTATTTTTATACGGCATATGGGTTTTCTATCCAAGCGTTCGAGCCTACAAGAGATTTTAGTCCCTACATAACTAACAATATTTCTGAATTTCGTTTTACTGTATACTTATCGTAATTTCAATTTTCTTAAGAAGAATAGTTTTTCCGATTCTTTTTTAGTATTCTTTATCGATTAACTGAAACATATCAACATAAAGGAAAGCACCATTATTTTAAAGATATAAATTGTTTCCACATTATAGCAGGCTTTTGTGAGCTCTAGAGTCTTATTTTGGAATTATTCAAAGTATACCTAAATTCCTTGTGGATTTCTTACAATCTGCCACCCACTAAACGTTTCTCCGGCGATGTATAGGAAGCGTTCGAGACGGCTTACGGCATGAGGAGGCTACGCAGTTGAAGGCAAAAATTTCATGAATTTGTCTTTTATAGCTTGCAATATAATTGGATAACTATCTAGACCCATACCCAGAGAAAGGGGCATTAGAAAACAAATATGATTCTGTCTAAGAAGCATTATTTTTTTTATAATAGCGTCTTATATTGGTTATTGACAATATGCAGGGTAAACTTGTTGTTATTCCATGAAAAATACTTGTGCTACACTTCACTTGTATAAGTTGGATATTATGTACGGCTCTATGCATTCGAATGTAGGGTTCAATAACTCCCATTATGTATTTACATATAATCGATGTATTCATCTAAAATATATTTTATGTGTATTCATCGATTCATAATATTCATGTTTTTGCTTACAGAAGAAATCAAATTAAGCAGGATGAGCGCTGCAAAAAAACAGAAACTGAAGAATGGCGCCCGTGCCACCAAGAAAAAGAGGAACGATGAAGACGATGATGATTTTGAAGAATTTGACGATCAGCCCAGACAGGTTCGAAAGTCGTTTTAGTTTTTGAACAAAAAGATCTGTGCATAATGGCTTACAACACCTTATTGTCGTGCTTAATTGATTACACTCTTCGTAAGTAACTGTTAACACGCCTACAATACAACTGGTGCTACAATCCTGTGTGACGTAAATACAAATTTAACTAAATGCATGATGTGCGTTTTGCATTTATGCGGCTAAATTTGCCTTGCTTATTACATGGTTCAAATTTACCAATATAGATTTATATAGCGTGATGTGTTTTTGCGTATCGGTTACCTAGGCGAGTCCAGCTTCATCCGGCGGCGGTGACATGGAACAGGCCGACCTCGAGGAAGGCGCAGCTGCCCCCACAGAGGACGAATTAGCTAAACATCTTGTAAGTATCCATATGCATTCTACTTAGAGGTGGAACCTGATTTCCGCGGTGAGATAATTATTCAAAGGAAATGTTTATTTATTTTGTATCTAGAATTATACCTCAAGATATGCATCGGAACAAGTATTTACTTTTATGACCCTTGCCAAGAAGAGAAGATACGTCTGTGTAATCTCAGCATACGCTTGTCCGGGCTTGCCTACAGTAGAAGCATAACTTTCTGTAGCTTCATTTCTGCTATCTGTTTCCGTTTGTGTCGATACAGCTTCACGTTTCATATTACGTCCTGTTCTTGGCCATAAAGCACGATCGTTTATTGAAGTGCAAGCGTGCTCACGTTTAATTTGTTTTATTTTTATTTATTCCAATACGTGTAGGGTGTTCCCGGTCGCATTGTCTTGGCCGGCTGCGTTTCCTGGGACAGTACGGGCAAAAGCAGTAAGAACAAGAACTCGTTGCGTAAGTGTTGATTTCACCTCGATCCATGTCCATATAATAATACTAATAACATAAATCATATCGTTTCGGCGCAGTGGCCCGAACGGCAAAACCTCTGCCTCAGAGAGTCAGAGGCCCCCGGTTCAAGCACCGTCAATGACATATATTACACGATCCATGTAGTTAAATAGAATAGACATATTAAGAAAGTGAAAAAGTAATACGAAGTGCTCTAGTTCCCCATGTTCAGCAGCAAATGTGGTGTATCCATGTGACTTTCCAGAACTACAAACTATTAAATGTAAGATCATTGGCTTAATAAATGCCTGACCACTTTCAGCGTTCAACTGCCTTTGGTCTCCGATGCGTTTCGGGCCCGTGGCCGATAAAAAAATCTGCCAGGTGATCACCGGTCGTCAAGGTTGTCACACGATATTGATTACCAACGAGGGCAAGACCTGGGTTTTCGGTCGCAATGCAAGTGGTCAACTGGGTGTCTGCGACACAAAGGCGCGAAACATCCCGGTGATGGTCGATGCACTTAAAGAGTCGACCGTCGTAGCGGCTGCAGCTGGCAAGAACCACACTCTGTTCCTTACCATCAACGGAACTGTGTTTGGATGCGGAGAAAATAAATGCGGGCAGGTTGGTTTCTCTGGCTAAAAATATACACGAACCTTGCATACTGAATTCTATCATTTAACTTCGCGTAATCAAATAGCGGAACATTGTGTTGGTTGTAGGCACTCACACGATATATTTAGCATTAATGTATCTATGTTTGCGTCTAAATTAGAAATAAAAATGTAAATATTTTCTTCGGTTTTAGGTGGGTGTTGGCAATAATACGGGAAATATTCTGGTCCCGACGCGCTTGAATATGCGTGGCCGTCGGGTTGTTAAGATGGACTGTGGCAATGAGTTTTCGATGCTCGTTGACGATACGGGCTCGCTGTTCGCGTGCGGGTCGCCCGAGTTCGGCCAGTTGGGCAACAACACGGACGGACAGTACTTCGTCACCAGTAGCAAACTGGCTTTCAACTATGTGACGACGCCGAAACGCATTCCTTTGTTCGTTGAGAAAGAAAAAGATGGTCGTCCGACGCCTATCCACGACGTGAAAGTCGTGGACGTATCTTGTGGTATGAACCATACTGCCGTAGTTGACTTAAACCGCCGCGTGTTCACTTGGGGCTTCGGTGGTTATGGTCGGCTGGGCCATTCGTCGCAAAACGACGAAAAAGTTCCTCGTCTACTGCGTGGCTTCGAAGGCCCTCAGAAGGGTGTGTCACGTATCTGGTGTGGTGGGTCCTGCACATTCGTGCTAAATCACCTCAATATTCTCTATATGGCTGGTAAGATCTACACGGGCGGCAGTCGCGAGGCTAATATGTACCCACAGGTTGTGCAGGACCTCTCCGGCTGGAACATCGTTGACATGGGAGTGTCTGATCATGGTGTGTGTATCGCAGCAGACAACAATCTTGTTGTTCAGGGTGGTGGTAAAACTTACGGCGAATTAGCGCTGGGTGAGGGACGCAAGACTTCGGCCAACTACGACACGGTTAAATCCCTCGAAGGGATCAAGATCAAACAGGTTGCACTAGGTCTTGGACATTTGGCACTTCTCGTTCTCGACGATAGCGAGGAGATGACGGCCAAAATTAACAAACTGGGGCAATGGACACCCAAGTGTGCTTAAGAATGCTGACAATTGCATAAACCAAACTACAAACGCCTACGAACTAATTGCTAGAGGGTAGTAGACGGTGACATCTTCGCTGCCGCAACTCGATAGCCTCGTAAGACTTTACTTTATGGAGGAAAAGGATGATAAAAACATATTGCAACAGTATTGGTATTTTTTTTCAACAGAAATAACCCCCTACCTCTCCTCCGAGAGTACAGCGATGGAGGCTAAAAATCAACTCTTTTCTTATATAACCAATTATACCGGAGAGCATCGCTAGAATCGTGCGTTAAACCCTAGCAAGTGAGCGTAAGCCCCGGTACAACTACCATATAGTAACAACAATTGCTTCTTCTTTGCTGCTATTCCTGCCATGATGATGAAGAAAATGAGAACGACGACGAAGTTGTCACCGTGTGCTAGGTCAGGACTTCTGTTCCTCTTAAATATTGAACCTCACATACCCTATATCTTAAACAGCCCTAATTCCTGATCCCTAAGCTCCAACCCCTGAAATCCTTATTCCTAACTAACCCCGCCGATGACAGGACGATTTCCGATAATTCCAGCCAGTTTTCATCTGAGAGGAAAAATTGCGGAACGCCTCTGAGCGAGTACAGTTGTTTGCTTCCATTGAATCGCAGCTGCTGCCTCTTCTTCTTTATATGTATGTTGTAGGATCATGCATTATTTGTTTGCTCATCAATCAACCTAACCATAAATCAAAAAGCAATCAGTTCGGTCAGTCGAATCATTAGCATTACTCACGCAGACCTGTTACTATGAATCCAATCAGTTTATTAGGGCATCATTTTAGTACGCGCCGGTCATCGTGTCCTTTGTCGCTATCCTTATAGCACATTGGTTGCGATGACTACGAACAATCCGTGATAGATACCATCATCACAACATATAGATGAGCAATGCAGTTGATAGTGAAGCAACGGCGTTATGTTTGTGTGTATGTACATACATAATTGCATACCAATCGTGTTTTTGTGTGCGCGCGCGTGGTAAACATCCTAAAAGACAAATCGTCCAGCGGACGACCGAATGCAACTGGACCAGCCACATTCTGCTAAGCAGTTGTCGGATGTGTGGAATCAGATGTGGTGTGATATGATACAACAACTGTTTAAAATAAGATAGTAATGCTGATGAAATAATTAGTATAACCATGATCGTTATAAAAAATTTAAAAAAAAATTGACAGAAGACTATGTACAGCTGGGCGATAACCATTTCGATGGACGATTTCCGCCAGTAAAATGAATTCTTTTCGGCCCATTTATATAATTATAACATAAATTTGTGTATCAAAACCATTTGCGAATCACAGTGTTGCTACATTCAAGGATTTTTCGAGAACTCGCTTGAAGGATTTACGCCTTTTTGTAAAATGTCTCATGCACATATAGTTAGTAGGTGGCGAAAGTGGAAAAAACGATTCAGAAAATTGGTACGAAAAGAAAGTCGATGAAAGAAATGAACCAAATATCTACAAACACACACGTAGACACACACCTGTCGACGTGGTGATATCGTCCATCTACTTGCTACCTTATTATATTGTGAAGTTTATCAATTACAATATAACGGTTGCTGTTTTCATTTCTAGATATTGATGGCAATGATGATGGTAATAACAGCGATCACGGAACGCGACCATGAGTTCTTTTATTATATATTTATATATATGTATATCACATAACAATACATTGATATATACACGCGCATGTCTAATTGTGACTGTTCCTGCCCCTAATATTGTCCTAATGAAACAACACGAGCAATGTACTATTATGAAATATGAGGATAACCGCAACAGCAACAACTAGAAATTTAGAAGATGACCCTGACATGTCGCTGTGATGTTGGCGTTGCGTTCTGTTAAGAAGCGCACCAAAAAAATTATGATTTCGAAGAAAAATGTAATGATAATAATGTGGATATATTGATGATGATAACGATGAATGACAATTGTACAATCTCCATTTTCAGTGGACCTACTACAACCTACAGTAAAAAAATCGACAACATACTATTATAATAATAACAATTACAGCCACCACTACTCAAGAAAGTAAACGCAAAAAACAAAACCAATAAAGACTGACATTTTATTTTATAAAAAAATGCAACCATGTGTATTCAGCTGTGAACGTGTATCGAGACAAAGTTCGCAGACGAGAGTATATATGCGTCTCTTGAAAAAAATATTTGTTTGTTTTTAGTTTTTAAAAATATTAAAAAAAATAGATATTTGAACAAAGTGTTGCATTTCCCTAAAGTGCCAATTTCGTCCGTAATATCTATTCAATAATTCATTAATCCTGGTCCTAAAGCACTCACAGACTTGTTTCAAATATTGCTGCTGCAACTCTTCGAATTTTTTCTTGTTAGCCCAGGTGAACCAATCAACGTTGTCATGTCGGGGGTTACCTGATTCTCGCTTCGTAACGCTCCATCCATAGCGATTCAATAAACTCGAATCTGGGCCGTTCGACGGCCATATGTGCTCATCTCGCAACATGCTCATATTCTGGAGTAATCTTACCTCACTAGCTGGCTAATACGAATTGGTGTATCATATTGTGGAAAACAGACATTTTAACTATCTTGCGTTGCACAATACGTTGTAGAACACGCGGATAGACTCAGTGATACATTCGCTTTTCTGGGGGAAGTATGATGACGTCTCTTCTACTAGGCGCCACACTCAAAATGTGAACATTAGCCGAAAAATCGTTTTTGTCCTAACCGTACATCTGTTAGATAATGAGCAAACCAATAATTATTTCTGCGTTGAATTACACATCAAGTAAAAATCTTCTTTCGTCAGAGGATCTGTTACGTTACCCTTAAGAAAATTGAAGGGCAAACGACACCGATTAAATAGCCTGTTTTTTTTCACTCCAGAGAGCATTTATTTGACTTTTTATAGTCTATATTTGAAATCTCTGTGATGGAGTTTAACTCGCATCAAGTTTGTTTGTTGACGACGATCAAAATAAAACGACTGTTAAAGAAGTACTTTTGGACAATATCGGTTAAGTTTGCACTGATTGTCCCATGTCGTGAAGATCCCATTGTACTGTGTTAGAACCTGCTTTTTCTTCTTCAGCCGCATATTCATTTGCAATGCCCTAGACTACTAATCTGAGATAACTGAAGAAGTTTATTTTCTCGACGGGAGCTTGTCTCACATAAACGAATTGAATAATATCTGAGCTTCGCTCAAATTACGAAAACGACACGCTATTTTTGTCGTCATAGCTTGCTGTTTCAACCTAGGAAGAACTGAACGCATGCTCGCCTGGATAAATAGCAGACAAAGTTCATCTAAAACTGAATGATTTATTGTGTATATTTATTCAGCGTAGAAAATGAAAACATTACATTTCATCGCTCAGTTAAGAAAACATTTCTCTTTTAAATTTCCGATAAAGAATCATTATGTCAGGTCTATGCGATAAATGGAGAAGTATTTTAGTATTTTTTTGTCGTATTTGGTACAACATCTATCTCACTACGTCTTAAAATTGCTTGCCAAGTGGAAAGTATTGAACTATGAGTTAGGTACGTTAATCATTTTGAGAAAGTAGGCCGTTAGTGGAAGGTTAACAATATGTCGACTATTGAATAGAGCATTTATGACCCACGCGCGCTCAAACTAGAACAGCTATTTAGTATTTAATTTCTTGAATGCTACTTGGCCATCGCTACCAGCTATGTTGCGCTCATGCAGCGTTCACATGTATTTCATATACTATTCTCTCAACGTCTTCCTTTAATAGTCTTTACAGTCTGTGTATTCAGTGGGCGCTCTCCTCCCGTACGACATTCGCTGGCTTTGTTTTCGTGACGATCTAACATTGGTCCTTTCTGATCGAGCCTTCCTCCGTCGCTCGTTTCAGCACAAGTGATCACGTAGATCACGACCTGAATCAACTAACGCCACTCACGATTACAACGAGGGTTGCTTGCTTCTATACGCTACTTTGCCAGTGGCTTCGCGTTCCCGGTCCTGTTCCCCGACCTACACCATTCAGCATGAATTAGGTGAATACCTACCTGGTCGGTCTCGAAGCCCAGTGGCCTGCACAGGTTTAGTAGTGCGCGGCCTTCGTAGCTGCCGCGATAGTGAAGGACTAGACCGTTGATCGGAGATTGACAATATTTAGGCTAGCTGCTAGAGCTGTTATATTCTGACCGTATTTAAACTAGCAGTTAGTTACTATTTCTTTTCTTGACCGTTGTAATACAGTAGAAGATTTTTTAGATCCATTAGAAGAAATAGTTAGATATAAAAAAGCAGCAGTTTGATGCTTGTTAACATCTTCCGGCTTTGTCTCGATGGATAACGCAGAACTGTCCTTACATTGGGTAAGCCTCAGGAATTTAAATTGTGTAGATGATAAACCCCAGTCATAAATTAATTTGCTAGAATTTGGTGTAGGGAAACAGGCATTAAGTTAATCCCTCGATGTTCGAACATTGTTAGAGCCACTGCATCTAGGGGGTTAAACTACCACTATGTTTAATGAGAAATCACTTAGAAAACGGCCTAGTTCGTTAAAAGGTGAATAAATGGCTTGTTAGGAAAGCATTGGCATAGGTTTTGTAACTTCTTTTTTACTGTATGTCCAGCTGAATACTAAAAATTTATGAGCATTAGTGGCATTGTACGGTAAAGGAAATACAAATAATGGAAATATCGTTTACAAACTACAAACGCATTGACCGTTACGACTGTTGTATGTATGAACAAGAAATGGTTTAATCGCACCTTACGTGCCCTGTCATTATTTTTGCGGTCTTTATTTTTGTAGCTGATTAGTTATTTAGTGAATATACCCTAGTATGAGAGTAAGAATAATACGTACAAAATATATTCTGGTAGCATTACGTTCGTAATGCTCCTAATACTTGCAAACGTGCGTTAGCCAAAAATCATCTGTTTTAACTCGCTAATACTAACGGTTCTATACAACCTATATTTTGTTTGATAAAGGCTGTGTATCGTGAGTGCTACACAGTTTTACCGTAATGTGTCTTGTTTGCCTAAATCGCAAATTACGTTCTTCGAATCGAATAACTCGAATTATAAACAAATTGCGAATCAATATGCGATATAATTACACAGTCAGCTAAAATTAAACCATTAATAATATTCTAAATTAATTTTAAAAACGATGCAAAGTTAAGACAACTAATATATAATATGTATATAATAAGAAATTAAAGAATGTCAAATATATTCAAGCTTCATGAGTAATTGTAGAGATAATCTGGAGTCTGGCGCCGCTAACCGAAGATTCCAGTCTGTGATTCCTACTATAACTTTTGTCCACAGCGATCGGTGGTAAAGATTCTAGCTGCGTTAAACATATCACACCCACATTTAGCCCACCCCTGTATCTGCTTATTCGTTGACAACATAGAGCAAATGCTGCCCTAAGAAAAAGACAAATGTATATTCAAGATTATTGCTAAAAAATGAATTTATTATTTGTTCAGGCCGACGTATGAAAATAAGATTGGTTGTTGTGTGCGTCAGTCTACTTCAACATCTATCCACATCATAGCTGATTAAATATGAAGTGAAAGTACTGAACTTATCGCCACAGGAAACACGTATTCGTTTCGTCTTGACAAACCCAACGTCTGTCGAAGTGCGCATCTCCCGATGTGCTATGATATGTTATATATTGTAGAATGATGAAATCAAATTGGCTCGTGCGTACAGTGCTTTTGTTTTATCCATTAAGGGGCAAAAGCAAAGTACGACACACGCACACATCGTCTGATAACCTGAAAAAATAAGGTAGGGGAAGATATTAAGCAATGGCCTACCTTTTAATTGATCGACTGATTGGTTGATTCAGGTAAATCTGCTAAATTCTGGTAAATCTGTATTAAGACATCCCATGCAATAACCATGTTACACAGTATTAGACGTATATTAGCTCTTAGAATAAAGCCGCCTTGGTAGACACGTTATTAATTTAGGACAAAAAGAACGACTAATCGCTTGCCACGTATGATCCAATAACTAGCAGACGGGGATAAATTGAAACTGAACCGGCAGCTTGTATAAAACGAGCCCAAATATCTGCTCATTGCCATTCAAATCTGTATTCTTAATAGAAGCATTTTGATACCTGTTATTTCAGCATGCTGTTTCATATGATCCTAATTAAACGTGACGTATACATGTATATATATATATATATAATCATTTTCGCTCATATTATTTTTCTATGGGTAAACGTCGACAGAAGCTAGGAAAAAATTGGAAGTATCCATATGTTCCACTTACATACCGCTGTGAATAGGTACAATTTTTACTGCATTAGTAAAACAAGCTAAGAGGATCGCTTCTAGCCTTTTGCTCAATAGCGCCCATTTGGGGGACGCTCAGACATTACGTCTGCGTGAAACTACTTGGCTACTTTTTACCGCTGCTGATACATTTTGTGACAAGGCTTTTGTAATTTTTAATGTTCATAGCTTTCTTCACCACTGCTTTAGATATTGTTTTGAATAATTAAATAGGTCTGGTCTAAACTCGATACGGTCTCTGCATAGAACGCTACTTACGTGACAGTGAAATACCACCATAATTTTATTAATGGGTCAAAGCATACTCCTACAAAGAGATACTCTATGAACAGTTGCAATTATTACAAAAAGACCGGCTTTCAGCAAAACACCGGGCTCTCCTGGTTCTTACAAACCTAAACACTGTAAGTTAAGGTATTTAGAATGCGGAGTCACGTTGGGTGGGAGCGACTGGCTGTCATTCTCAGTTTACAACTACAACCCTTTTGTATTAATACTATCTGGCAGCTCTTTTTAGCGGCTAGGTAGTTAGTTCTCGGACGAAGACAAGTCGGTTTTCCAGTTCTCGAAATCCTGTTCTCCCTTTCTATCTCAACATTTCAATCTGCATAGGCACAACAACAAACAAAAATAGAAAGCAGCTGTGGACGCAGAGGGTGACTGCTTAAAACGCCGACGTCTTCGGTCCCGTCGGAATTTTTCTACAATATTTCTTACTTCTCCATCTACGGCCCAGTC